GCTGGAGAATTTCCTTCAAAACAAGGGACAAAAGACAGAGAGTGTGTGCGTGCCAGTTCCAAGGCTGAAGTCGCCAGGGTCGCTGAGATTTGTCGAAGCAGCTCTCCTTTGACCACCAGATATGATACTTGGCCCTGACCATCCTGGGAAACAGGTGGCAGTTACGAGTCTGGGGCCCATATCACGTGCTAAGGAGGGGGCTTTGTCTGGATCTTGCCCCACGTTAGGTCGAGCTTGGTGTGTGCTTAAATGCTTAGCTAACACTTGAAGTGGGCATAAACAAATCAACATCAATTCAAAGCCCTGGTAATCTTCCTCTTAAGGACCCTACATTGATGCTCTACAGCGCAAACTTTACATAACAAGTGACAGCATGTCTGCGACGAGCGAACCTTTCTATCTCCGATATTAGTCAGTCAAGGCATTTTGCCGTATGCATGTGAAGGTTTGACCTGCTAATGTTCAAAATAGCGCTGGGCATATGGGTAGGTTCGGGCATGAATTCCTTGGTAAGTCTGCAGCGCACATCCTTATCTATTTCGGGACATTAATCCATGGGCAGAGTTTGATTTTAGAGTTGTGGGAGATGGAAGAAGTGCAGTTGCGAGATACGCGAACAACTCCAACTACAGGAACGATAGTCTCATTCGCAAAGAAAGTATGTTGCCAGGCTCGTTGACAAGCCGTCCCTTTGTCATTGTCTAGGGATAATTCAGTTTTTAACAATTCTGCCAGTGTGTGTAAGCTCATCTATTGTGGAGGAGATAAAACGCATTATCAAAACGAGCGAAATTATCAAGTGAGGTTACGATCAAGGAGACAGTTACATGTATCCATGCTGACAATCTCTCAGAGAGGATGATTCCAAGTGGCCACAGAAGAACAAAGATGGCCGCCAGGAATTGGAAATCAGACTTGGGAACGACCATATTTCATTCGAGGTGGGTACAACACGGCCAGTACCAACTTATGCTTTTCCATACTGATCCATGTGACCAGACCGCCAAGATAGGATCATTAGTCGACGTGACCGAGTCCGCCGATCCCGAAGGCTTACGGGTTTTCTATTATCTGGTTCAAGATCTGAAAGCACTTGTCTTCAGTCTAATAGCACTTCATTTCAAAATCAAGCCTATATAAGTCCGAATAAATATACGAAGGGCATACGGCAGGGTATTTCTCGATGGAAGAGATATATATATATTATTACGCGGCGAGGGGAGCTTAGGTGGTCCGACATGGCTATCCCAACAGCTGCGAGGTAGGCCTATAGACCTACCTAGGCCATATCGAAACGGCTTATGGCGATGGTATTGGCGCAGTTGGCACTTGGACGCACAATTGGGAACTTTGGCGCTGGGCAACATCGACTTCGGGTAATCAAATTCAGCTCTGGGCTAGGCTCGATTCAGTACGTTATGAAGCAATTGCCCCAACGCCAGAGAATTATCCAGTGTCACAAAACTCATGGCGCGCTATCAATTGCATGTCAAATACCTGATTAAATTGCCTTGCCCTCAGCTATTGTTGCGGATATAATCTCTTTCAAATATCCATTTTTGCTTCATTTTGTCCCGCATTAATATCGTTCAAGGCTATCACCAAAGACCCAAACACATTCTAGTTCTACAATCATTTTCTGACATTCGGTGATTTATGATGGCGGCGAAGCAACTTTATAATAGCACACACACCAAAATGTTGACAATTTCTGTTCCTTGACTTGAAAGCTTGACATTGTCCGCCGTAGAGTACGAAAAGTTGGAGTACAAGCCTGTCTCCAAGTATCAACATGATATCGACCGCAAGATTACGGGATTTTCTAGGTCCTTATTTGAAGCATGCGATTGTGTGGTTGGGGGCCTCTCGTACGTGTATGCAGCTCAGCGAGCACACAGGCAAGACTCCAACGCACTTGGCGACAAGGTGAGATCATATTTTGATGGCTCCAGCGCCAGCAACTGCATGCCCACCTTAAAGCTTACAAGCATTTAATGTTGAAGGCCGAAGGTTTTAAGACACCAGATGTGTACTGGTGGGACCATCAGGCTGGCTGTAGCAACATTCTTAAAATACTCACCCGAACAGACATTGGCATCGAAGTCAACTCACCCACGTCTATCTACCGGGAACCTACATGTAATTGATAATTGCTGCGCCGCAGTAGGAGGCTAGGGTCTTTTTACTTGGATACCTACTGGTCATTAGGTACCGGGTAGCTATCCAGCGGTTTGTTCATAATACTAGGACATGCAGCGAACCGTGCGAGAAAAGCGGGAAACCTGGTTCTCTTTAAAAGCTCAAGCTCGAGACATTAATTATACTCTGTACACTTGACGCTCCCTGTGCCTGCCTGCCTGGGCACCGGAGTACCGTGTCCGCCTCTATCATCCAGTTCAAGTACTGCAGGTGGCGAGATGACCTGCCAATATCGAACCAGTAAGTTGCCTTGAGTAAGTACGTACATGGGCACATGGAAGTACAACCAGACGGTTGTGAACACAGGGATACCTGAAGTCAACCTGATTCTCCACACCCAATGATGTAGGCACGCAATGACAATGGTTTTCCACCCCCATGCCTGTACCGCAACCGGCACATGAGGAAAATTAAGGTACCAGTAAGGCTCTTAGCGTTGAACTGGGCACTAGAGCCCACCGGCAGCAGTAGCTAAGTACCTAGGTACCTACTCAGTAGGCACCTACCCGTTGACAACTAAGTGGACTAGCCACTGTAGGTAAGTTAAGTACTTAGAAGCAACACAAGCACCCAAGCGGGAAGAAAGGTCCACCTTGCTTGCGCACATGCCTGGTACTATTATCAGGCGGTACTGGAGACGGGCGTTGGCAAACACCTCCACATCCATATCTCCGATTCAGCCCATTCAACCAGACTCTTCCTTACCATCACGATCGCCGCAACTCTTCCCGTGTAGCTCAGCGCTGCACCCTTTTCACCCTCCGATGAATTCTGGCATTTCCTTCGCCAGAGCCTAACTCAAGATCTGCCATGTGCGTCGCAGCTTCATGAGAAACGACCTCTCCCTAACTAATGCCTTCGACTGTCGCCCACCACAACCACTCCCGACTAACTTTGATCACTCCTCCCTCTTTTTGCAATATTTATCAAGTTGGGTCTCGTTAACAACGATATTCAAAGTGAATATCCTTGCCTAAAACGGCGCGCAATACGGCCATTTTGCCTCGCAGTCAAATTGCTCTCACAGCATCCTGTGCCCGAATTGATCCATCCCCTCCTGTGCGCTCCCGTAGTAGTCGACTCTCTATCTACATCAGGAGGCACAAATTCGCGGTCGACCTGGTTGTCGTGCCCTATACAATAGGCAAATACACCTTGCCAGCCACCAGTCTATCCTCTGCTAGCAACAATGCCGACACCGTCACCGAATCAACCTCCGGATCAACCACCATCGGCCTCTCCGTACTCTTTCTCAACCTGTCCCGACGACATTCTCCATACAACACGTCATGACTTAGATAATCATTCAGGCCCAGCTCTAGATGGACTATCACCGGCCAACCTGGGGTTGGAATCACAAGGATTAATGCACAGAACAGTGGAAACCGCCACTGACAATCGCGCATCAGAGTCTCCATCCTCAAGAGATACTACAGTCTCCCCAGCGCCACAAACCAGTACCACTGCAGTTACATCACCAGAATCTCGTGGAATAGATGCTGGGCACACAATGAAGAACCCAGAGTTGGGTCCGGACGGCCCAACTCCGCACACGGCCAGTGCAAGGCCGAGTCAGTCGCTAGAGCAGCCTCCAAAGGACCTGGGAGGACCAGACTTGGCAATGTTTGAGGAAGAGGATGCCGCATGCACTCCACCGTCCATGGGATCCGACTACTCCAGCGCTCGGGTACGCGCGAATCGACTAACCACACGTCTTATTTTCTGCTAACTTCTTTAGGCTATACCGTTTGCACCGTTGTCCTTCTTGCAGCCAGGCAGCAGATTTCATGGAACACAACAGTCAGAACGCCAAGTATATGATGTCCAGGTGGAAATCAAACATGTCGATATGCGCGAGTCCTTTCTGTGCGGATACTTGCGCATTCAAGGTTCGAGATATATCCTCCCCTCCATACGCCTTCGCTGGTACTATTCTAGACTGATGTCTGGGAAGGTGCTAACTGATTGTTGTTACATAGGTCTCACTGAAGACCACCCGACTTTAACAACCTATTTCGAAGGAGAAATTATCGGATCGAAATACAGCTTCTTCACCCAGCATGAGGACTGGGGGGCGAACATGAAGGTTGATCTTAGCCATTGGGCAAAGTTCAATGCGTTTCGGCCGTTTCAAAAGCATGCGCGCAAAGGTCCAGTGACTATTCCTGATGTAACACAAAGAGAGAACATCTTTATGCGATGGAAGGAACATTTCCTGGTGCCTGATCACCGGGTTCGGACCATTACCGGAGCCAGTTTTGAGGGCTTCTATTATATCTGTTTCAACCAGCTCAAGGGGGAGGTCAGCGGGATTTATTTTCATTCAAAGAGCGAAAAGTAAGTGTAACCGACATGTTGTGGTATTGCCACAGATTGGTTCTAATTACGTTCCAGATTCCAGCAGCTCGAGCTGAAACACGTCCCAAATCGAGGATGCTTCAGCGCTACAGAGTTCCGGTAATGAAAGGGTACAGTCAGTTTGGAAAAGATTGGCACCTTAGCGTCCCTAATAAGGAGCAGAAGGGTTGGGAGTACAGTATGGCAGTTCGAAGTATACAGCGGCATTTTATTTCAGTACGGTCCCTAGCATCACACGGATTTGCCCGAGCTCGCTGGGTTTAGATGGCACGAAATGCGCACTTCTTTTCATAGTCTACAGGCTTGGTTAAGCATAACATACGCAGGGGTCTTGGATAGCGTACATTGACGAGCGGGTTATTGAGGACGGGGCGTAAGGACAAATATTTAACATTTAGGAATACCAAAATGGTATGGGAACATGGTTTTTATTGTTGCTATCTTTAAGTCTCGAACTTCTTGAAATATCCGCGCCGGAATGGGTTCAGGTCGTCAACAGTTGAGCCCACCGTGCTGACCGTCTTCCGGCTGTGGTATACTGCCACAGCTGCTGCAGAAATCTTTTCGTTCGAAAGTCGACTATATGTGATCAATCGTCTTGACCCTACAGCCGTGATTAGATCTTGGTCTATGGACATAAACGCCATCAATGGTTAGGCCAGGCCGATGATTGACTGACGGCGGTAGGCTAAACTTGCATGTTAACGAGGTAAAGACTTACACTTGTTGAACTTTTGAACACAAACCACCACCACTTCGAGCGACGGGTGTGTGGGCACGGGTATTTCTTGGTCCTCGTCATTCGCGGTGGGCATCCAGAACGATAACCTACCATTGTCAACCAACGTGGCTGCTGCGAAGGCGAGGATATCGTCCAGCATCGCCAAGAAACTGTATGGCTTTTTGGGTGGCACAAAATCAGGCGAGCTGGAACGGTCAGCCGAGGTCTTTGTTAGCGTCTTGAGTACCAAAATGCACTCCCAGGATAAATAACGCGTATTGTTGTAAACGTACGAAGCATTTTTCTTGCCCTGTTCAATAAGCCATGGTGTCTTTTCAGGATCCTTGAGTCCGAGAACTCTCAGCCCTTCCCGAACGCCGTATGGCGGGTCACAGACTATCCCATCCCATATCCGTCTATCCTTGCTAATTGGCGAATTCATGAGATCAGCAGCGAAGACGTCACCTAATCGCTGCTCGATGTCGTACTGCTGGAAGTTGCCCCTCAAGCACTTGGTGCCCCCTTCGCCGCGCATGCTTCTGCCGTCTATATCACTGCCCCATGCCATCGCACCGAAGCAAGCACAAGCGATTGGAAACGACCCCGTACCAACAAACGGGTCATAGAAAAGCTTTCCAGGCCCTGCCAGGGCAATATTTGCGGTTATGAGCGACAGTTCCGAATCCATGCTAGTAGTAGATATGTAGCCTCGCTTCTTCAGGTCGAATTTAAGAACAGTTTCCCGTGATGACTTTCCAACGAGGCGCCCTAAATAAATGTTGGTGGGTTTTTCTATTCCGAGTGGGACGCTATTGAATGGCCATAATTCGAAGACTGTAAATATTTCGTCTGGTTGCGACATACGAATCGGTCCCTCAAATGGTAGGTAGTCAAAGGTGTTGATAATGGATAGTCTCTCGCTATTTGAGTGTGCTCCTTGGTATGAGTCGATGATGAATTTGAAGGATACAGACTTGTAATCTGCCCATAGTTTGCTAGTCCGTTCCGTCACGGACTGATGTAGGGCATCAAATGTGGCACCTGTTCCCCAGAGTTCATGTACGGACTGAGCGAGAATAGACCTTCGAATCAATCTATGAGCGTCTCCAACTGAAGGAAGACGTGCAATGCAGAAGGGGGACTGCTACAGTGTTAATATTGGAATGAAATCGGAGGGATGTAGCAACACAAACGTCATCCCTGTACTCGAGGACCTCCAAGTCAACGCCTTCTATTACAGCAAGAGCCTGTATCTCTGCCACGCGGAACGATTCATGGGCTTGTGCGAATTTTATGACGAAATCCATGCTAGGCTTTTGAACTATTAAATCGTCGGCTGTATGCGCTGGGCGAGTTGAGAGTAGAAGCCTGGGTCTGTTTATTTGTAGCCGTCAACTTCGATGGTGGCAGTGAGTCATTAGCATAACCACGCAGCGCACGCGTATTTGGATAACCAAATCCGATGAATGACCACGAGCGACCTTCTTATGCTATTCACCTCTTATCCGACTCCTTTCCCGTCTCATGAAGACGATCTCGAGCCTTCGTTGTTGCTAGAGTTCATTCACTCTAGGGTTGTCGATTTTTTCCCCCAGCCCCCACTCACGGGAGGCACTAGGGCGGGTTGTGTCGCTAATTGTGATCAAGATGGACCTGGGGCCTTGCTACTAAGTACTACCATCAATTGATATGCATTACTACCACCAGAATCACCACCGCCTGGAAGCAACGAAAGCCGAAGGGGCACATCTATCTAGGTAGGTTTTCAAGTCAAATACTACAGGAGCCCACAAAGCTGCCTCGGGACAAAAAAAACGAAAATAGTGCCTCTTACCCTCATGGCTGTTTGAACTGCGTATTTCTCACCCAAGCTTGCCTTGCACCCCATCATTGTTTTTGCTGATTTTCAGCAACCAAGGATTACACAAAACCAAGCCTTGGATACCATACCGCCGATCAGTGACAACACCCAGAGCTACACTCAACATGGCATATTCTCGCTCCCTCATGTACCAACCTGCCGCTTGTCTTATGACTCATGGCACAGTAGGTCCCATCAACGACGATCAACCTTCAGAGCAAGGTGCTCCATGGGCCTTGATCGAAGACCAAGACTTTATTTCGAAGGTAGGTTTATCATAAAATAGAAGTTGAGAGAAACTTCCTCATTTCGCATAACTCTGATCAATTCAACAGGTTGACTTGATTGCACCTGTTGAAGTGTATCAGACCATACAGGAAAGGATCTTGCAGCGCAAACCGCAGCCCTGTTTCTACCGTACCACCATATCTCTTGGCCAGCTGTTAAACTCGGAACAGTTCATCCAGCTCATCGAAAACCGTACGCAGAAGACTGACACTGAAAAGATGCAACCTGACTGACCGAGCACAGAAGAGATAACAATGTTTTGTGAGGCAAACTCGGCGTCTGCGAGCAGCTATGCTATTAGGAATGGTAGGCGACGAGACATCATAATAATAACGAGTGTATGCTAAGTGGGATACCATAGGAATTCTTACCATTCATATGGACAAAGAGACGTTTCAAAGAGCCGGAATTCCAGGCAAGCCACTGGTTGCCCAAGGTGGAAGCGACGGCCAACCCAAATGGGGTAGGGAACTCTGCAGACATCCAATACTACATCACAGGTGTACTATGATGCTAACTGAAATAGGCATCACGGTTGACTTAAACAGCCAGGCTTCATATCCTGATGGAAGAATACCTGTCTGCTTGGTACATGCCTGTTCCACAGTCTTCACTGAACGGTTAGTGTGGCTATTATGCCTCAAAACAGGATCGGGTAAGACTACGCCCAGTCCCGTTACATTTTAACCCTAGGCTCTCCTATCTTTCGAAATCTTTTGTGTAGCAATCCTGTACTCCATTTGTCTGTTTGAAACCAAATACAAATGCTGACACGATATATCCCAGCCCTCAACAAGAATCCCTGGGAGAACTCCCAGCCACACCAGTACACCGTCGCCTCGAAAGCTTTGCATAAGATCCTTTCCCTGCCTGAAATGCTCCCTACCACTTCATCGACAGCCGCTGACCATGCGGGTCTCGAGGAGCGAGGGGCTGACCTATACGAGTGGCTGTCACTGGTGAGGCTCGAGAGTGCGCGAGTTGAGCCGGACGACAATATAGATCCCTACCTGTCAAGGTACTGTGTCACGGGTAAAACCTCTGAACGTCTGAATGTTTGTAAAATCACGTGGCAAGGCTTTATTGGAACCACTTGGTTACGCGACTTAGCCCGTGATGCAGTGGCAGTATGCCCCAGGCGGAGTTGGTTATCCATCATCGCGACCAGCTCTTATTGCGTCGAAATGGGCGTCAATGCCGAATCAGTTTTGTTACGACCACCTGGACAGGAGGACCAGTATCTGATGTGGCAGATTAAAAGATGTAAATGAGCAGTTAGTGAGTCTGCTTCGACCTCACATTTCGCTCATCCCCTAGAAATCGATCTGAAATGGCATCCTCCACTAGTTTTCGTAAATGAGCCTGTCCAGACGGTGCATTAAAATCATCTCGTTGTGCCAACTCTTCTATGCGGCGACGGAACCCTGTGTCGACGTCAGAGGCGACCTGCTCCCCTGCATCCATCGTGCCGACGATGAGTTTCATTCCTTGCGGTGGAGGACGGATGGCTTCTGCAGTGACACCGTGGGCAATAGCTTCTACTTCCTTTCCCGGCTGGTTGATGTCGAGGCTGGTCAGATATGCTGCAACTGTAGAGAACTCGCCCTCCGATTCAATCCTCTCCCTAGCCGTCATACCATCAGCTCCTTGATGATGGGCATCAATCCCCAACTCTTCGACCAAAACCTTTGCGGCCTCCAGTGTTTCGACGACGAACAGCGCTGTTTCGTCATCCTCATCCTTCATATTAACATCGACATGAAACTCAAGAACTAAGGCCCGTAGCAAATCCAGATGGTTGTAGCTGGCTGCTGCATGAAGGAGAGAATAACCATGCTCATCTTGTGCGGCTGCTAGGTTTGGATTTTCACGAAGAAGCGGAAGCAATGAAGGGCTGTTGTCCGCAGCAAGAAGGAACGTATTTGGTGACATAGTGACAGTCTTTGGGTTGTGCGACCAGGGCGAACGTAAGATGCACCTCTAAAGGTGTGAGGGTTGTGGCACAAGTCATTCAAAGTGAGGTTGGACTTGGCGCATCTGCAAAAGTTCGGGTTGGATAGCCGGATTATGTCAGACAGGGTTTCTACTCACCCGAACACACACACCTTAAATCGGCTCTTTGGAACACCCCACATGACAACGACCCAAAATTTTCCACGTCACTGTATCCTCTATTCTCGGAGTTATGTAAAGGAATTGGTCTCGACTCCTAACAGTGTTATTTATTGGTATTTTTGTCATTTAGCCCATTTATACTGATTTCGACAACCATATGGCAGCACAAGTCTTCCAGTCACCAGCTGTGTTTTGTGGATTAGACTGTAGAAATTTGATTACTGATTCATGGATTGGGAGTACCTGACTTCTCCCTAAGGCGGCGGCATTCCCGCCTGAATCGCTCTTTGACAAGAGAGACAGACGGTGGCTGAAATGAGCTGCCCAGGGGGCACGGATCTGCTTGCCTTCATTTGTTGAATCCGCCTGCCAAATCACATACTTACCCGGGTACTTAGCAAGTACCTACCTAGGTAAGTAGCTAGGTACCTACGGCAGGTACCTACGGGGTATACAAACAAGAACTGGGCAGCTTTGGACCCACCCGGTCGAGGGCTTCTCGGCGATGACCCATTCTCACGACAAGCTTTAGTTATTGGCACGAGTCTGCTCCTGGTGTCAAATGTTTACATGCACACATTCATTCCTGCCTCAAGCTTTGCGAGGCTGGAAAACGCCAAGGTGGAGTAACAACGCAGGAGAAATTGAGGCTGTGAGTCATAGCGGTTTCCCGAGTTTCGGCTGTTCCAAGTCGGTCTGCTTTCCACGTTCTAAGATATCTCGAGCGAACTAGTTCTTCTTGTCTTCTCACTCCAATACAAGACCACATTATCTGACACAGAAAGGGTTTCAATCTCGATTGAACAAGATCAGGTACTCGCACAATAAAATGTCGTCAGCTGCGCCGTATATCCCTCAAGATATCGACGATGTCTCTCGTATGCTCAATGCCCTAGAATTGGCTAGGAAAGAGAAACGACACGGCGGGTTTGCTATCAAGAAGACAAGTTTCCAGGTCAGAGGCTCAACAAACGGACTCAAAATTGATTCATGGAAATTACAAGACTGGGATTATAAGCGACCAGATCTTCCCACATACGCCCGGGGCCTCTTCACCACCCCCAAGGCACCGCGGCAGCACCCTGAAATAGCCGTCAGAGGTTATGATAAGTTTTTCAACGTCAGTGAAGTGCCGGAGACGAAATGGGAGAACATAATTGCCAACACACTTCCCCCCTATGAGCTCACGCTCAAGGAAAATGGGTGCATTATATTTGTATCCGGGCTTGACGATGGTACATTATTGGTCTGCAGCAAACATTCCACAGGTGACCGTGATGATATTCAAGTCAGCCATGCCAGTGCGGGTGAGAGACGCCTAGAAAGACAACTCTCAGCTATTGGCAGAACCAAAGAAGATCTAGCTAGAGAGCTTCGAAGCCGCAACGTCACCGCAGTCGCCGAACTTTGTGATGATTCATTTGAGGAGCATGTTCTGGCATATAGGTCTGACACAGCTGGCCTGTATCTCCACGGGATCAATCTCAACCTCCCGGAATTCGTTACGTATCCCAGCCCGGCCGTACAGGAATTTGCAGATAACTGGGGATTTATCAAAACGGGCTTTACGGTAATGGGAAACGTCCAGGAGGTGAAGACATTTCTGGAGGATGTTGCACAGACAGGATCGCACGACGGGAGAGAGGTCGAGGGATTTGTTATTCGGTGCAAAATGAGTGCAGACCCAGCCACGCGACCCTACCAGGATTGGTTTTTCAAATACAAATTTGAAGAACCATACTTGATGTATCGACAATGGAGGGAATGTACAAAGGCACTTATTGCGGGGAAACCACCCAAGTTCAAGAAACATCACAATATCACTGAGGAGTACCTGCTGTATGCTCGCAAGCGGTTGGCTGCTGATCCGAACCTTGGGAAGCTATATAACCAGAACCATGGCATCATTGCCCTGCGAGACGATTTCCTCAAATTCAAAAACATAAATGGGCGTGACGCAGCATTCTTGGACGACTCAGATCCTATTATTATGACAGAAGTTACGGGCGACGTCATTCTATGCCCAATTGCCACCATCGGCTGCGGGAAAACCACTATAGCCTTGGCTATGTCACATCTCTTTGGATGGGGTCACATCCAAAATGATAATATATCTGGCAAGGGCCGCCCCCCTCGATTTACGAAAGCTGTATTGGATCAGTTGGAAGATCATTCCGTTGTCTTTGCTGACCGAAACAATGCAACGAAAATTGAGAGGAAGCAGCTAATCACTGATGTGAAGTTGCAACATGCTGGCGCCAAGCTGGTGTGCCTCAACTTTCGGCATGATACTGAGTCTATGGAAAAAATTCGGAGTGTCACACAGGCCCGAGTCTTAGCACGTGGCGACAACCACCAGACAATACGTGCCGCGAGCGAGAAAGGAAAGTTCATCGGGGTAATGGATGGGTTCATCAAAAGATTCGAGCCTTGCACACCATATGCTCATCCAGATGACGGATTCGACGTTGTTATTGACTTGGACCCTGTAGTAGGCAGTCGACAAAATCTAGAGACTGCGGTGAGCCGGTTGAAGCAACATTTTCCGAATCTTATCGAAGCAATTCCGTCTACAGAGGAATATGATGTGGCAATCCAAAATGCACTTGATTACCAACCCGATATCTATCACCGCATTCCAGCTCGAGCAACGGATAATAATACTAAAAAGAAGCGGAAGCTAGAGTACATGTCTGTGGATGTTGCAAGCGACAAAGTCAACTGCGTTATACAAAAGGCTTTCAGCGCTTCCACTTCACAGACCGCCCGGTTCTACATGCAACTGAAACAGACTAGGAGGATACAAAGCAGGTTTCACCTTACGCTAATGCACAGAGCAAGCATGGATGAATATCCCGATCTGTGGCAACGATACATTGCGGCGTGGGAAGCCGCAGGCGGCTCGGAATCACAGTTTGGAGAATGTGACCTGTTATTGGAAAGGGTACGTCGACTGCATCTGCCTAGTTTCGATTCACGAGAACTGTGTTTGAGCTGATCTTTGCTGTTATTAGATTGTGTTCGATGACCGTATAATGGCCCTCGTAGTGCGCTTGTTGGACGACACAGGTAAATGGGAGTGTGTGAACCGAGTTGCACACATCACAGTGGGTACGAGGGATAACGGAGTCAAGCCGAAGGAAAGCAATGACCTCTTGGCTAAATGGATTGAGGCCGGCGCTGATGGCGAACATATTTCGGAGGTGGTTTTAGAGGAAAAGCCGGTCCTCAAAGGCACCGTGAGGGGAGTGCTCTCGAGATAGAGTGGCGTTATTTCAGTGGGCAAAGTGTTATTAAAGAGATCGCCAAAGCTGAAACTTTATGTCGTCAATACCACACCCCCCGCCCAGAGCTTTCCTGACTGTGTTGTCTCGACATTATTTCATGTGATTGGTCCCGGCAAACTTTACCAGCCACAGCTTATTGTACACAACATATTGAGGTGTATCGAACAGGGAACAATAATTTGTATAATTTATCCAGTTCACGTCAGTTCGCTCCTGTCTCGTACAGCAACAGTTGCCATTGAAAAATCGCACCTCAAATTCTTGGGTAAATAGGATACATGGCTA